CAGCCCCCCATGACTCTACAGAGGATAAAGGGGTGATTCGGGTCATGTTTTCCCTCTTGTCTTGTATTTTATGCTCCACAAAACAGAAAATCTCCAAATAATAAGAGACTAAATCAGTAACAGCAGCATTTATGGAACACTGTTGTGTTCGTGGATCAGCAACAGTCTGAGCAGAGATATTTTCACTCTCGAAAACACTGAAATGTTTGCCAACATTAACACTCAGCTTTCTCTCAACCACGCAGAGACTCACACATACACATAAAGCTGGCAATGGATTGCAGGTTCGGTATTATAGCTGCTGTTTTTGCAGGCGGGCCTCCGCACGCTGCATGACATCGGACCAGAGATCCGTCGAGCCATATCATGTGACCTACAGGAGGAGGGACTAGTGGATGCAAATGGAGAGGAAGAGGAGGAAATCTACAGGGTGAACATCTTCAAAGATCCACTTCGCACATATTTTGGGAGATAAATTATTTGAATAATTGAGCAGCTATTTGTCTGAATAGTTTTTTCCACACAACAGTTCAAATACATGGTTAAAATGTCTTGAAGATGTCACGTCTTCTCACTTACTGAAAAATGCACATCTATGAATGTAAACAGATGTTTATATCTTAACAGAAATACTAAAGTTTTGTTAAATCCTTGGTTTTAGAAAGCAAACACTGAAAACAAACTCTTTAAATGAATAAAAATGACTTAAACTGCAGCATATCACCGGTGTAGCAGTGAGTTTTTAGGTTCTTTGTGGTTTAACGCTGGTTTTTCTCGGCCTTTACTTGTTTCTGGCGTCTCTCTGCAGCGTAATGGCGGCCTCTTTGGGAACCACGTCAACCATTTCAGCGGGGATCAGCAGGGTTCCTCCCACCCGACCACCGTCACCCAGCGGCCGCTACAGATCCTTCCCTTCTCCTGCAGCGCCTCCGTGGAACCCGTCCAAACTGGCCGGAGAGGCAGCAACAGCGACAGGGAAGGAGAGACGGAGATGAACTCTTCCCCCGTCCAGTACAATCATCATCATCATCCCTCCCCTCACCTGTACGATTACCCCCACTGTAACTCCACCTGCCACCAGTCACCGATACCCTCCAACGCCAACCTTAACAACGCCAACGTGCCCTCGCTTCTATCCATGACCATCGGGAGGCAGCAGAAGTGTCTGTTGAGACGAAGTCGCCCGTCCTCCACCAAAAATCCATCATCAGCAACGTCTTTCAGCAAAGGCGTGAACGACAAGCTGTGGAAGTCCCACTCCATCAGGTCAGTGGCTAGTCATCTGAAGGTGGTGTTAAAGCTGATTAAACAGACACAGCTTTCTGTTAATGTAAATGTAAATTACTGGAGCTGGAGAGGAGCTGAATCCGGTCTCCCAGCTGCTGTCTTGTATTATAGCTGCACATGTGCGGTATAATGTTATTTTTAAAGCTCACACCAAACAAAACTGCCATTTAAAGGCAGACACACTGTTCTGTTTACAGTGAAACACTAACAAAATGACTTACTGAAGATTTAGTTTCCAACATTTGATCTAGCAACGCATTAGAGCTGCACAATATTAGAAAAAACTAACATTGCGATGTTTCTGAAAAATGGAATTGCAACTATTTTCATGAGATGCCTGGAAAAACTATTTAGAAAGTATTAATTATTGTCAATTTTGCCATATGTGTTGGACAGAGACAGGCTTGAAATGCCGTTTAGTAGAAAAACAAGAAAGACAAAGTCGCTGAGAAACAAGCAATGTCAATGGATAGTCCAATGGTGTAGTAAAATACTGCCTGGCTGGTGTGCAAGTAGATCGGTATTTACAGATGGCACTACAGTGTATAGAAAGCAGTCCAACATATCATAACTGTTGCAAAATATTGTGATCTTTGTAAAAAAAAAAAAATAGAAAAAAAGATCCAAATATGTTTTAACAAAGCTGAAATAAGCCTGTCTCACAGACAAAGGCATCTAAAATAGTTTTTACTAATGTACTGTGCGCTGATTTAAATGGTCGAAGTAATTAGTTGTGTTGTCTTGTGTAGCGGCAAAAACTACAACTACAACAACAAGAACCTGTTTTTGGTTAACATCATTCTTTCTGTAGCCACAGATCTTTTAGCAACCAAATCGTCCTTTTCAATGTTTCCCTCCTGTTCCTTGTTAAGTTGCTCTGCACATGTGGAGCCTGTATGTCTGCAAACTCTGTCTTTAAAATAAAGGTTTTAAAAAATCAGTATGTCCAACAACCACTAACTCCAATTAAATGATGATTTATCAGACTGATTTCTAGATTAGTGATGAAAAATGAGAAGCCTGTAAGTTGCAGCATGACGGGTTTAACCTTATATGCCTTACTGCACATTGCAGTTCCTACAAAGTGACAACTGCACACATCACAGAGTCAATGCTGAAACGTTGTCTTGTGCAGCCCTGTAATGCATGCGTCTAATTCTGTTACCAGAATGCAATTTTGTGCAATAAAAATCAAAATTTATAGAATTTTTAATGCAATCCTGCAAACACCTCTATGTTTTTATACATCATATGTCTGTAACTGTCCCACAGGACTTCTGTTGTCCAACCTACAGTCCAAAAAGTCCGTTTTTAATGACTAAGGACTAAGAAAACCAGCGTGTAGTCCCACCCAAGAAGATGGAGAAACCATTACACATTTGCTTGAAAATTACTCAGAAAAGCTGGTAGTTATATATCATGTTTTTCAAAATTTGAAAATGTCTCGATTGATATGTTGATATTGATTGAACTTATTCACCCAGTTCGAACTGTTCAGACTGCCCTCTGAAACCTCCAACACAAGAGAACGAGAAAAAAAGGCAGATGCTGACCCTGTAACTTCAGAGATTTCACCTGTACATCACAAATAAATGGCTTTGGGATGATGTTGCCTGAAATATTCATACAATATGTTTTATGCTTTGGGAAACTAAACAAATGAACTAAATTAGGCGTACAAATAACTTTTCGTTATTGTTGGGTATATGCCAATATTCCTTGGCAAATATATTGGCGTTTTAAGAAACAAATCACCTAAATTACAACAGAATTTCTTATGTAACTCTGATGTAGTTTCCATTAAATGTGTTGAAGTTTTGTTAGACGTGTCACGTCATGTTTGTGTTGCCACCCTGATACACTGCAGGTGGAATTAGGTTTGTGATGCTCACAGCACTGGTGGCAAAAAAACCAACAAACGGTTAGTCAGACCTTGTTGTAAGAAATTTCGACTAAAACCATTCCCACGTGGAAACACCTGCCTCTCCCATACGTACGTTTTAATCTGTGGCCTCTTGTCTCTTGTCATTGCATGCAACCTCTACTTCCTCCTCTTGTCCTGCTCTCCTGTTCCAAAAAATCCCGTCCGTTTGACTGAACCGCCTCCTCTTCCTCTCCTCGTAGCAGGACTCGCTACTATGAGGCCTATATTAGGTATGTTTGTGGTGTTACTTCACAGTATCTGCAAATAGAAGAAGATGACGCATGTCAGTTTCAATATATGTAGCAAATGAGCAATGTGGTGAAACGTGTGAGAAGGTTTCGGTACAATTTGCATTTCACGGTAGTAATGTTTGTACTTTTCTGTTCTGAATCTGCATAAAACACAGCAGCAAATAAAGAGAAAAGGAAAGGAGCTGCGTATGTGTAATCAATGCAGTCAGTCAATATTATTATAACAATGGCTGTGTTTGCTGCTTCGATGCAGGTCAGAGAGTGGAGGAGGGCTTTACCCCACCATTCGTCGAGAGGAGCCGGGGGCCGGAGACAGCGATGACGAGCGAGGATCAGGAGAATATTACAGCGGGGAGGAGTTTCATGAAGACGACATCATGCTCACAAAGGACAGGTACTGTGATCTGAGGAAACACTGGACAAGAGCATCAAATAAAACCGTGTGACTACTGGTGCCTGTCGCGAAAACTTACGGCTGCGTTCCAACCTTAAATAATACACCGTCGCCCATAGAGTTGGAATCATTTTTGTTGTCAGACACATTTCTCTTTTATTTCTATTCATACACATCAGTCATCACTTCTGACCAGGTGCAATGATTACACACTGAGTCCCACTTACCAGGTGAAACTAATTCTAACATGTAGATCTGACCGTAGAGTGGGACGTCCTGCCCATTGACACCATCAACAAGCTGACGGACAGAATGCCACCATGTCCTAACGAATTGATCCATGTCAGGGGTGGCCATACTCAATATTAGTGAGATTTGAAAGAGTAATATTGGACATTCTGATGCATGAAATCCTCTCGAATATGTGCTTCCTGTTAAAGGGACCAAAGATTGAGAAATTGTAAACAAAACCCTTAATCCTATTGCTCAACACCCTCAATTTACTTTAAGCCTGAATGCACAGTTTTCAAAAGTAAATTGTGGTTTCATTTATACTGATATGTATTGTATGTATATTGTGATAACAATCAAGTTTTGAGAAGATGTACACTTTATCTATCAAGAACAAATCACATTGTCTCAGTCATTACATTAGAACAGGAAAAAAAAATAGTTTATTCCAACCTTGTGGGCAACAGAGTAAAATAAACACACTGCAGGGTTGTCCATGAATTTAACGTTGTTCACAATAGGGAGAATGAAAGTACATCATTGCGATGGGGAAGAGACCTCACTGCTCGCACCCACAAAGAAGAATAAGAATGGCGGCTTGTTTATAACAATAGGCAGTAAATTTAAACCCTGTCATGCAGGTTTCATACCATGTAAACCTCCAGATCCTGTAAACAGAACCTCTTCCTTGTAATGAGGTATCTCCTCAGAAGGACCTGCAGCCTCAGTTACATCCATAAGGTGACCTCTTTGGACTAGAACTCCAAACCGGAGACCACCTGAGATCTCTATATTTAACTCTTGTTGTACAACAGACACATCTCACATCACTATTAGCAGCAGGCACCCTGTGACTCTGAACACATCAGAATTTAGTTTCCCTGAAAACAACATCAGCAGCTGATCATGAAGAAAAGATTAGATAATGTTCATATAGATTATTAAAACCCCATCCATCCATCCATTAAATTATCAGAGCAGAGTTCAGTGTGATATGAGATTTATATTGAGGCTGTTTTTTCAATGCTGCAGTGCTTTTATAGACCTGTAACATTTGTCTGAGGGCAGATATTCAAACAGCTGATACACAGGGTTGGATGAGTCCTTCAGGATGCAGCGTATTTTCTGCATCTAACTGCTTGTAAATATGTTTTCTAGAGCAGGCAGCTGTGTGTTGATAAGGATATAGATAGTTCTTTTGTAATGAAAATCTCTTTGCTTCCAAGGTTGCCCAACAAGGACTGCCACGATGGTGCAGAGGCAGATTTTGACCTCGAAGTTTCCGGGGGCGACCGTCAGACTGATAGTTACTATGACGACGACCAACAGCCCATCTACCAGGACGGCAGGCGGTCGCCCAGGAGATGGTTTTTACCCTCACCTCAAGGTAAACTCACTTTTATTGTCATTATTGTTTTGCTATTCCCTGGCACGGAGAATTGCTCAGTTCTGAATATTTACTGCATATCGATAAACTGGGTTGAATAAAGTTAACGGCACAATATTGATCTCAGTTTTTTCATTGAAGTCAGTCAGATTTGATGTAAATTAGAGTTATTATATGTTATTACTGTATTATACATGTTGGAATTGTGCATACAATTTGTTTTTTTGCATTTTATTTACTTTTTGGTTTAAAAATTGTCAGAATACACATCCTTCTGTAAATAACGGTGTAATTTTTGGTTCTCGTGTGTCCGCTCAGCCTCCACTAGACCAACATTTAATTTTGAGTGTCTTCGAAGAAAAAGTAGCCAAGACGACGCTCCTCCTTCCCCATCATGCACAGCTCTTCCACTACACTTGGTGCAGCAACAGGTAC